TAGGGAAAGGCTCTGACTTCCCGGAACCCACAGGGGGCACTGGGCTGAGTACGGTCATTAGCGACTCAGGTGTTCTCGCTTTTGGATTTCTGACACGTCTTTCTCATCTTGAAAAATGGTGTCACAATTACCCCCTTTTGCAAGCCTATCCCCCTTCCCTCACCTCACATTCAGTCTAAGTCCAAATCTGTCCAGTCTTTCTTCTAAATGCAGCTCAGATTCATTCACTTCGCGGCTTCCCTCTCTTCTGCTAGACCAGGCCGCCATCTTGTGACTGGGCTCAGGAATAGCTTCCTAAGTGGTTTTCTGGCCTCAGAAATCTTTTACAAACATAAATTGATCTTGTTACTGCTCTAATGAAACCCCTTGGGTCAGTAGTTTCCATTGCCCAAGTTCTCCCTGGAAGCACTCTGCCCGCGCTCCCCGCCCCTCCCCCCTTCATTGTCCGTTGACTTGTCTCCCGTACTAGATGGTGTACTCTGTGAGGGTAGTGACTTTGTGCAATATTGTATCCCCAACACCTGATGCAGTGATTTAATGAATGTCTGTTGAATTAATATGAAAGAAGTTTCCCCTCTCATTCCCCTGTTGCTGGGTCATTGTCCCCAAGCCAGTATGTTAGACCCCAGAATGGCCGTGGGTGAGGACACTCTGTCCCTCTGGCTGTTCAGGCACTGATTTCCACCCCCAAGGGATGTTGCCTCTCCCCTTCATCTTCGCCACCTTCTCTTCCACCAATATAAGGCCAAACTGGAGGCTGGTGGGCAGTCATGCATGTTATGGCAGGCCCTGCAGGTAGCCGGAATCCGGGCCCCACCCCCAAGCCCTGTACGTGGTCCTTTTTTTTTTTTTTATAAATTTATTTATTTATGGCTGCGTTGGGTCTTCATTGCCGCACGCGGGCTTTTTCTAGTTGAAGTGAGCGGGATCTACTCTGTTGCAGTGCGCGTACTTCTCATTGCGGTGGCTTCTCTTGTTGTGGAGCATGGGCTCTGGGCGCGCAAGCTTCAGTAGTTGTGGCGCACGGGCTTAGTTGCTCCGCGGCATGTGGGATCTTCCCAGACCAGGGCTTTGAACCCGTGTGCCCTGCATTGGCAGGTGGATTCTTAACCACTGCACCACCAAGGAAGCCCACGTGGTCCTCAATAATGCTGGTCCTGATGAGCTTGGCGTTTAGTAAGTGGCTCTAAGGGGTCAGAAGGGTCTCCTATCCTGCTGGATAGGGAAACCCTGGATAGGTGTCTGGGTACATCTGCCAAGGAGATTCAGGTAAACCCAGGCAGGAAGAAAGATGGGATGGGTGGGCTTGGTGGGATAATGCCTGGGGACTGATAATGTACTGATGTTCACTCTGAGGGAGATTTCTGGTGATTACCCCAGGGCTATCTCACTCAACAGCAGTGACCTGAATGGAGATACTAAAGGGAACCTCTTAGAATCCGAGGACAATACAGAATAGAGAGGGTTGGGCGAACATGCCAGATGACAGCCTCAGGATCCACAGCGTAGAACAAGGCTGAATCCAGCTTGATAACCTCACTTGGCTGCAAAGCACCATCGACACAGAAACAAGATCCAAAGTGTTTGCTAAGCATCTGCCTTACACCAAGTGCTCTGCTGGGTCTGGGGACTCATTAACATGTGGTCTGGGCCTGGGATCAGAGGCTTCAGTAGTTCAGTAGAGGAGGGCTTTGGTGGACAAAGTTTAATATGAGTCTGTTCAGTGAGAGAACCACCAAACAAAGAATGTGGCCTTGGGCTGCTTGATGTCTCCTACCTACACAAAGCTGAGATTCTTTCTGTCCTGTGATGATGCACCCTGATGTTTTCACTTCTGAACATTATAGATTAAGAAAGCATATTCAAAAGAGTCTGGGGGTTGGGTGGGGACAGTGAAACCAAGTCACAGAGGAAGAACTGTCCTAACAGGGCTGTCAAAAGTTGGAATGGGCTGCCTTGGCCTAACCTTTAAAAGTTAGAGGCTTGTAGAGTGCTGGGCACGTTAGCCCCTCAAATATATGAATAAATGAATGAATGAATGAGTTCCTCATTTCAGGAGGTAAAAAAGCAGAGAATGGAGATTTTTAATGAGAACTAAAGCTTCTGATGTTAGATTAAGCCAGATGGTTCATTAAAGAATTGGTGATTTCATGGTTTTCTGAGATGGGGAGGTAGGAGGAAACAGTGGGAATGGCCAGTCTGGGAATTAGGTGGGTTTGGGGTCAGTGCTTCTCTGTATTCTAGGCGAGTTTGAGCATTATGATCAAGAACCCCTTCATCAGATTCATTTAAACAAATACCTAAGCTGCTATCGATGCCTCTTGGAGACCAAGGAGTTGGGATGCCTTCTGGGATCCGACATCTGCCTCGCCCCAAAGGGCAGCAGCTGCATGACTCTGCTCATAAAGAGCAGTAAGCTGCCTTCTCCCTTTCGTCGTGGGCCCAGCCCACTCCCGAACTGAGTCTCTACCAGCCTTCTAAGCTGCACCCTAATTCTGGTTCCCACAACTCTAAGACACTGTTCCACCACTCTCTCTCTCTCTCTTTCCTTTAGAGCCACTCCCCATCTCCACTTCTACTCCCCTCCCCTTCTCGGCTAACCCTCCTCATAGCACCCAGCCTTGTAGGGGACCCTGGAGATCACCAAATCTACTGGCCTCTCTTTAGGCTGCCTTCTCCCCATCTGTCAGCAGTAGCTCCTGCCAGCACCACTCTTCTCCTACATCTTCTGCTGCTTCCTTCCAGTTTCCTTCACTGAGTCTTGCCTTTAACTGGGTCTTCACTAAGTCTTGACCCTTAACAGTTCACGTTCCCCAAAGTTTGGTCCTTAGCTCTCTTCCTCTTTACTCTCCCAGAGGATTTTATCTGCTTGCTTGGCTTCACCCAGCAGGCACATACTGCATCCTCCTAAAACTGAATGTTAGGCCAAACTGTAATGTCAAATTGCCCTCTGGATATCTCCACCTCATTTTCAACTTGCTGGAAATTGACTACATTCCCCGTTCCTCAAGCCTGCTCTTCCACCTGATCCCTCACCTTTTTCAATGATAAATAATAAACACATAACACAGACTATGTACCTGGCACTGTTCTAAGCACTTACAACCCTCCAAGGTAGGCATTGTTATCCCCATTTTACAGATGTGGAAACAGAGGTGCAGAGAGGTCAGTACCTTGCACAAGTCTCCTAGAGGCTGAGCCACAGTTTGTGCTGGTTCCAGAGATGGTGCTCTTGACAACTGCTGTACAAAGCTGCCTTCATTCAAATCCTTTCATTATACTTTTTAAAACAGCTGATGCATAGATGTGGTTCCATATCAGAGTATTCAAGAAAAGTCTCCCTCCCACTCCTGGCCCAGTTCACCCAGCTCTCAGGCATGAATAAGATAAAACCATTTTTTAAATTGCCTTTATTATCCTTTCTGTGATCTTTTGTGCACATCCCACCCTATACAAATATGCTGTTTACTCATTTTCACCTCTTTTTTTCCTCCACAAACAGTACTATACTACTGTAAGCACTGTTCTGCACTTGTTTTTTAAACTTAACAGTTATGGGAACTTGATGTTTCCCTATCAGTTGGTAACCAGCTTCCTTGTCCTGCTGCATGGTATTCCACGGCACGGGCATGTCAGAATTGATTTATCCATTCCCCTACTGATGGACCTTTAGGTTGCTTCTAAGTTTTCACTCTCTCAAGCAGGGCAGTAGTGAACATCCCCGTACATGGGCACAAAGATTTCCCCACTCTCATATATACAATAGCAGCAGAGACATCCTCTTCTACTTTTTAAAATATAAATTTATTTATATTTTTTTTATTTATTTTCGGCTGCGTTGGGTCTTTGTTGCTGCGCGAGGGCTTTCTCCAGTTGCCGCGAGCGGGGGCTACTCTTCGTTGCGGTGCGCAGGCTTCTCGTTGCAGTGGCTTCTCTTGTTGCGGAGCACGGGCTCTAGAGTGCACCGGCTTCAGTAGTTGTGGCCCGTGGGCTCCAGAGCGCAGGCTCAGCAGTTGTGGCGCAGCACACGGGCTTAGTTGCTCTGCGGCACGTGGAATCTTCCTGGACTAGAGCTCGAACCCATGTCCCCTGCATTGGCAGGCGGATTCTTAACCACTGCGCCACCAGGGAAGTCCCTCATCTTCTCTTACTTTTGATCCATAAAATAAATGACAAACACCTCCTGTCTGCAGTCTGACCTCCAATACATCTCCCAACTTTTTCTTACATGGTCCCGCCTGAAGTGCTGGTTCTCCTCACTTTGCTCCACAAGTCCCAATTCACCCCATTCCAGCTGTCACTGTATCTCGAATGGCTCTTTCCCACCAACCTTCCCTGGGAAACTTACACAGAGTTCATGGCTGGTGACTCCCTGGCACCCCCTGGCCTGTCCAGTTCCAGGAATTGTTGCATTTCGGGGGTCCAGGGCAGGGTGTGGGGGCAGTGATGGTAAGTCCACGTGGGGTGAGGGGATGGGAGGGTTCGGGGCTTTACCTGGGAACTCTACGTCACTGATTGCTGCCGTCCCTCCCCAGACAGTGGTTCGGAGATCATGGTGAGTGACTGCCGCAGCAAGGAGCAGATGAGTGATTGCTCGTACACCCACACTTCTCCAGTGCTGGGCTTCTGGATATTCTCTCCATGCTGCTTCCGGAATTTCTGCAATAACCCTCAGAACAAAATAAAATATGGTCCTTAGAACTTCCGTAGAGACCTCTGGAGTAAAAACCTGCCAATTTCCAGCCATCCTCCTGATTTCCAACTGGGGGCAGCCACAACAATGTCTGGCCCCACCCACCAGCCCTCCCTGCCGCCCTCAGCAGCAGTTACTGGACCCCAGTCCTATCTGCCTCTTGGTTGATGCCCCTCAACACCCCTCTTCCCACTCTGCCCCTTCCCTAGGCTCCCTCTCCAGAATTCTCTGGAGTTTTCCTTCAAGTCCTCAGTCTGACATCTTTCCTCCTGTTCCCACCTCAAGGATGCCCCTTTGCCCTGCTTTGCTTCTTTTCCCACCACAGTCCTCTCTTGTCCAAAGTCCCCAGCTGTTCCTCCAAAATAAATAGGTGTGCAAACTGTTTGATTTGTCTCTCTCTTCTGGTGGATGTGGAGGCTGAGGGAGGTGGTACTGCCTGAGTGCCCCGTCAGGGGCAGGTAAGTGGCTCCGAGCTCTGCGGAGCTCTGCTCCTGCCCTGCCCCACTGTCTCTGATTCAGCTCTCAGCACAAAGAGGTGAAGAGGAACCGCAAGCCCTCCTATGTTGAAGACCAGAAGGGTAGTGGGCATCCTCAGAAGTGCTGTCAGACCCAGAGCTGGATGGGGACTGGTAGGGAGGTTCATGGGGGTGTGTTGGTAGGAGTAGAGCTGTAAGAGAACCAGTCCCAGGGAGGAGAGGGTGGGGAAGGAGCTCCGTGAAGAGATGCAAGGCCTAGTGGCCTCTCTGATCCCAGGCTCAACTTCCCTTTTCAAGGACCATGGTTAAGTTACTCCTCAGTTTCGGGCCTTGGGTTTCTCATCCTCTGAGGCTGTCTTCCAGCTTGACTCGCTGGAGCTGTGTAAACCTGGGCCCTTGACTTATGCTGAAGTCAGAGGTCATGGGGTAAAGTGGGCGGCAAGAGAGGGACACAGTGGCTTGTACCTCTCTTTGTATCTCCAATTGCTTCCTGACTTAGAAACAAATGGTTTCTCCCACCAGAGCACATGCTGTTAAAGGGGCCACAAAAATCTGTTAACATACATGCAAAACGTTGTGTAGGAAGAGTGTATGCTGTGTGATGTCGTTTCTATCAAGCACACAGACAAAATTCAGGACAGTGGCTACCCCTGAATTTTAGGAGGGTCTAGGAGGGTGCATGAAGGCGGCTTTGGGTGCTGATAAAGGCCTTTATGCTAACTCAGGGAGTGGTAGTTTACAAAAACCCACCTTATAGTGCGCAGACATCTGTATGGCCAAAAAGGTTTAAAACTAAATAGACCAAAATCTGTGTGTATGTTTGCCTCTAAGTCGTGTCTATTTATTTATTTATTTATTTATTTATTTTTGGCGGTGTTGGGTCTTCGTTTCTGTGCGAGGGCTTTCTCTAGTTGTGGCAAGCGGGGGCCACTCTTCATCGTGGTGCGTGGGCCTCTCACTATTGGGGCCTCTCTTGTTACGGAGCACAGGCTCCAGACGCGCAGGCTCAGTAGTTGTGGCTCACGGGCCTAGTTGCTCCGCGGCATGTGGGATCTTCCCAGACCAGGGATCGAACCCGTGTCCTCTGCATTGGCAGGCAGATTCTCAACCACTGCACCACCAGGGAAGCCCAGTCGTGTCTATTTTTGAGTCCATTAACTTCTATCTCTGTGCACACGTTGACACACATTCTCTCAATCCTGAGGCACTATCCCTACTTGACAGGTGACCAAAGTTCGGCACAGAGACCAACTTACTCAAGTGGCAGAGGAGCTGGGATTGGGCCTCCCAGCCACAGAGCTGCACTACTTTTCAGAAAAAGGTTTCATAATCCCAGCACTGGGTTGTGAGATTCGGAAGGGTGGACACCTGGCTGTACTCATCTGCAAGTCTTGGTGCTTAATACTGGGCCTGGCTCAGAGCAGTGTGTCCAGTGTTTATTGAATGTATGGGGAAGGTTGCTTTCTGCATGCTTGCAGTTTTTCAAAATATTAAAATGAAAGACCCTACCACCGCAGCCCCACCTGTGTGCTCTCTGTACTCTCCCACCCCCTCCACCTAGGCCCTCACAGAGGGTGTTCTGGGTCCCAGGATCCTGAAAAGAACTGAGAATAGGCAGGAACGCAGGTGCCTCAGCTCCAGGTAACTCTGACATGCAGACCTGGGCCCTCTGGTTTGCTCTTGAGTTTTCGTGGTTGAGTATTTCCTCCTTTCTTATGTGGAAAAACCTGACATCACCCGGGTTTAACTTTCTAGGTTTCATAGGGCATGTTTAAGGCTGGCAGGAGTCACAATCCTCATACTTTGATCTCTAGCTGAGCAGAGGGTGGGATGGATGTGGGCTCTTTGCGGCAGGCCATGAGGAACCACAAAGGCCAAGTGGAGTGGGCAGGGCTCTGCAACCCTGTTTGAACCCCACACCCAGTTAACTTTCTTTAACCTGTTTACAACTGCCCACACCTGAGCCTGACCCCATAAACAATGTGACACAGACTTAGCCCAGTTTGTTTATTGTGGAGGGAAACTGGGGAATGTGGAGCAGAGGACAGATCCTCTCCTCTCCCTGAGATTCTGTGCAAGTGGGTGTCAGGACTCAGGGACGTGAAGTGGGGCTGTGGAAGTCAAAGATGGGGACAAGAGATGAGAGAAGGAAGCAGGAGACCAGGCGGGAGTGAGGGTGGTGGAGACAGTGAGGTAGGAACACCAGAGTGCCCAGTCAGGAAATCTGCACAAAGTCCACCTCTCACCCTTCTTGATGCAAGGTCAGTCTGGCACAAGGTTTTAGAGACAGGTGTAGGGGTGGAAATAGCCAGATTGAGAGGGGATCAGGAAGATGGGGAGTGGGGGGGGATGATCCTACTCAGATGATAGGAAAGGGATGAAGAAACCACTGTGCCTTTTCCAGGTCAGCCTAGGCAGAATTCACATTTGAGATTATTTTCTAGGTGGACGAAGGGCACTGGGTGCAGCGCCAACTGCTTTTTGGGGAGGAAACTAAACCAAAACCATATAGATGATGGAAGTACAAAGGAAAGGAGGACTGAGAACTCACAGACCAGAAAGTGTGAGTGTTCTGAGAGGGCAGTACCTGATGCTGGGGTGTCAGGGGAGAGACGCTGGACCAGAGTGAAATCTGGGAAGGGTAAGACGTCACAGCCTAGCCCAGGGAAGAACCAAAAGTCCTGAATTGTTGAGGAACCAGTATATGCGGCGCAGGTCAGCAATGGACAAACTCAGATTCAGGGGCAGGACAGCCAGAGGGTCCAGGCCTTCAGAAGGCTCCTTCCCAGCATGGAAGCTGGGTAGGGGCAGTGAGAGGTTCAGGGCTTGGCAGAACCACTGGATCTGGGACTCAGACAGGGGCAGGGCCAGGGACCCCTCAGGGGCCTCAGGGAGGGAGCTCTGGAGCTGGGGGCTGTACCAGAAGTTGCAGTAATCATACTGGCAGCACTGGGCGTAGTACCAGTACTCTGGGAGGTAGGTGGGGTGTTTTTCTTGGCACCGGTAAGACTTGTGCTGTCCACAGCCCCGGATTAAGAAGTGAACCTTGGTATCTGGAAGAGAGGGGACAGCTAACAACCACTGCTGCCTCCCATAGTCCCCAAACCTGGCACCCCTTTCACAGACTCTGTGATCACTCACCCACACCCAATTCCTATCCCAGACTCCCATCAGAAGGTGCCAGAAAAATTAGCTTAACTGGCTCCACAGAAGCCCAGACCCCTCCCCTTCCAGGATCCTCCATCTCCTTAGACCTCAGGCCCCAAGCAGCCTTCATCTACAAGAGGAGACCAAGCCATGGGCTGCCCTACCAGTAGCCCCTTCCTGCGACTTGACTCACTATGAAAGATGCTGATCCCCATGCATGGGGATGAGCTGCTGATCGTGCACTTCTCTGAGCCTGAAACGCATCCTATAGTAGGATCTTCTAAGAGGCAGAGGTGGCAGGTCCGGACTTCAGCAACAAGAGCTGGGGAAGTGGAAGACAGGAGGAATGGCCGTGTTGGCTCACTCCAAGTTCCCTGCCCTGCAGGGAGCCCGCTCATCCAGAGCCACCCGCTCCCTGGACTGTCACCCCTCCTTCCCTGCCCCCGTGTCCCACTTACCCTTTTCCACTGTGAAGCCCATCATGACCAGCACACCTACAAACATATGGGCCTTCATCATGGAATTCTGGGGAGAGGGGAAGTCCCTCAGGGGTGCTCTGAAACCCCACCTTCCTGTGACCATGCTCCTTGAGCCTGCAGGGTGGTTTTGACAGGCAGAGTCTGGGCAGGAGCTACCGCAGGTGCAGAGCTATATTCCTGACTCGGGGAGGAAGCTATTAACTTGGCAGGAGGGACATGTCCTCACCCACCAGGTCTGGTTCCTGAATGTGGGAGCAGTAGCCCAGACAGGGGCAATACCTGGGCCCCAATCCAGCAGTCTACCTTTGTCCTGCGTGCCTTTCAAGGGTCCATGGATGTTTCCTTCTCTGGTACCATCTGCTATCCTTCCCACACAATAGGGTCAGTCCCTATTGTTCTGGGAGAAACCTTAGCCAGGAACCCAGTGCCCCCATCCTTCTGAGATGCGTATGTCTCAGCTCCCCAGCAGGGGGCAGGCAGACACCACAAAACAGCAATTCTGGACCCTGCCCCTCCTTTCCCCACCCCTTAGTTCTGTTTATTTTGGGACCACTTTCCCTGTAAAACCCAAACTCAAAGTGTTGTTGACTGCATTCCCTACAGTATAAACAGACGACCATAGGTGGCCCAAAAAGAATAAATATTTCTCTAGTCTTTGAAATTTGATTTTTCTGAATCTTTTGTGATCTTTGCACATCCCCACACCCAATTCTAGAACTCCACTTTACTACTAAAAATATCACCCAAATCCACTGGGCACAAATCTGTGCTGGATTTCAAGCTGAGGAGGGTGGGCGGAGCCAGGAGAGCTACTGGGGTTCAGCACACCATTACCCTCCCTTCCCCAACCCCAAGCACCAGCAAATCAGCCCACAGCCTTTTCTTCCACTTTATTTCATATTCCCACCACAATAATGACTCCTTTAATTTAAACTAAAAACCATAGAGGGCTCCTGAAAGGGTGGCAGCAAAGTGTCGAAGACTGGGGACAGGTCGGGTGGGGAATCAGCGAATCGTCTTGACTGGACTCTTGAAGTTGCTGGCCGCTTGGAGCTGCAGCTGGTAGGCCATCGGATGGATCTTGAAACCGTAGAGCCTGGGTCAGGGCAGAGGTCAGAGAGGCAGCAGCGTGAGCCCCATCCTGGCCCTGCCTGTGGCCAGCATTTCTGCCCCCCCACCCC